CAAGTGATTTTCAATACTTTAGTGTAGTGTAGAAACATTATAAATTTCTTGTTGTCAGTATTGTTTTTTGCATCTGGGATAAGACAATATATTTGTCAACTGTGAAGGAAACTTTCTAGTACTGTGGGACAATATTTTAATTTATAAATAAGAAAAAAATTTCACAAGGAGTAAACATTTCCTCAATGGTAACTAGATAGTTTTGCTAGACAAATGTGTAACTCCTTAGTCAGCATGTCTGGGTTCTGTAAGATGTTTCTTGATGTGCCGAATGACCTTTATAAAGATAAAAAATGTGTAAAGTAAAATAGACATGTGACTGTTTAGAGAAATCTGACATACTTTATTTTACATGTTTATGAGTTCCTGGAGTGTCCTGTATGAGTGATGGCTATGAGGTTCTAACTGACCCAATCATTTAAGTCTTTCCATAATATTTGAGAAATCATTTTATATTTTCAAATATTTTATTATTTCACTTATTAAAAAGCACACATCTCTGACTTTATACAGGCATATGTTCAAAGGCATGAGAAAGTTAGATCTTCATGCTACTAATTGAAAACATTACTTACCAAGTAATTCACTGTTAAACTGATCCCACTTCTCTCATTTTAACAGAAATTGTACTGAATTTGTATATGAATTTGAAGATAGAGTATCATCATTACAAAAACACCAGGGTTTTATTCATGAACATGAGATGCCTTTCCATTTATTTAGATCTTTTCCATTTCTGTCCACATTGTTTTGCAATTTTCATAATGCAAGAAGTACACTTTTTTGTTAAATTTGTTCCTAAAATTATGTTTTTTGTGATTATTTGAAGTATGATTGTTTTCTCAATTTCAGTTTTGATTTTTCACTTCAGTTATATAATTTTTTTGTTTGTTTATTGCTTATGTATCCTGAAATCTTTCTTTATCTAGCAGTCTAATGTTTTTCTAGCAGATTTCTAAATATTTTCTTTCTTGATGCTACCATTGTAATTGTTTGAGGGACATCACAAAATGCATCCGTGTAATATAGTAAACAACTGATAAGTGTTGCAGGTATTCTGACTGTTCCACCAACTGTTTCCCATTTATCTCCTTTTCCTCAGGCTTCCCTATTTCCTGAGTCACAACAATATTAAAATTAGCAAATTAATAATTCTACAAATTGCTTCTACATGTTCAAGGAAAAGGAAGGGCCTCATGTCTCTCACTTAAAATCAAAACCAGAAATGATTAAGCTTAATGATGAAGGTATGTATAAAGCTGAAATAGGGCAAAAGCCATACTTGTAAAAAACAGCCAAATTTCGAATACAAATAAACTGTTCATGAAGGACATTAAAAGTGCTACACCAAAATATACCAAAAATAAGAATGTGCAACAGCCTTATTGCCGATATGAAGAAAGTTTTAATCATTTGAATTAAAGATAATACCAGTGAAGGTATTTTCTTCTGCCAAAGCCTAAACCAGAGCAAGGCCCTAACTCTTTGCAATTCTGAAACGTGTAAGCAAGCTGCAGAAGAAATGTTTCAATCTAGTGGAAGTTGGTTCATGAGATTTAAGGCAAAAAGCCATCTCCACAAAATAAAAGTGGAAGATAAAGAAGCTTCCACAAGTTATTCAGAAGTTGTAGCTCATATAATTAATGAGGGTAGCTACACTAAACAACAGCTTTTCCATGTGGAAAAAACAACTTCCTATTGAAAGAAGATACCACCGAAAATTTCATAGGTACAGAGGAAAAATCAATGCCTAGCTCCAAAGCTTCAAAGAACAGGATGAATTTTTACTAGTCTAATGAAGTTGGTGACTGGAAGTTGAAACCAATGCTGATTTACCATTTGAAAATCCTAGGGCCCTAAGGAGTATACTAAATCTACTTTGTGTTCTATCAATGGAACTACAAAGCTTGCATGGCAGCATAGATGTTTACAGCATAATTTACTGAATATTTAATCCCAGTTTTGAGATGTACTGCTTAGGAAAAAATGTTCCTTTCAAAATATTAGTGCTCATTGAAAATAGGACTTGTCACCCAAGAAGACTAATGGAGATGTACAGAGAATTTAACATTGCTTTTATGCCTGCTAATACAGCATTCATTCTGTAGCTCCTTGATCCAAAAGTAACTTCAACTTTTAGGTTGTTGTATTTAAGAAATACATTCTGTAAGAAATAGCTGGCATTGACAGGAATTCCTCTGTTGGATATTAGTAAAGTAAACTGAATATATTATGAAAAAGATTCATCTTCCTTAAAAACATTTGAGAGTCATGGGAAGAGGTCAACAGGAATTTTTAGGAAGTTGATTCCAACTATCAAGAATAATGATGAGAGGTTCAAGTCTTCAATGAAGGAAGTAACAACAAATGTGGTAGCAATTGTAAGACAAATGTAATTAGATGTAGAACCTGAAGATGTGACTGAATTGCTTCAATTTAATGATGAAAGTTGAATAGATGAGGAGTTGCTTTACGTGAATGACCAAAAAAAGGGGTATATTGAAATAAAATCTGCTCTTGGTGAAAATGCCATGAACATTTTTGAAATGAAAACAAAGAATTTAGAATATTACTTAAATTTATTTAATGAAGGAGCAGTAAGGGTTGAGTGGATTGCTTCCAATTTTAAAATAATCTTTACTAAGAGTAAAAAGCTATTAAACAGCATTGCATGCTACACAGAAATCTTTCATGATTTCTGTGAAATGAAAGAATGGATCATTGGGTGCAGTAAACATCATTCTTGTCTTATGAAATCGTGACCCTCCACAAGCAAAAAGATTACTGCTCACTTAAGGATCAGATGATTGTTAGCATATTTCAGCAATAAAGTATTTTTAATTGTTATGTACATTTTTATACATGATGCTATTTCAGACTTAGTGGAATACAGTGTAGTATAGACACAACTTTTATATGCCATGGAAAATTAAAAAAAAATTGTGTGACTCACTTCATTGTAATATTTACTTTATTGTAGTGATCTGAAACCAAACCTGCAATGTCTTGAACGTATGCGTTGTGTTAGTGTAAACACTTAATGGCCTCAGAGGGTGTAAGCCCCACATTTTGGTGTCTTGCATGAAGTGTTGGCTCTCCAGGTGCACAGAAAGCTGGAAACTTCTGCCCAGATTTCAGGGGATGTATAGAAATTCCTGGATGTACAGACAGAATTCTGTGGCAGGGGCAGAACTCTCCTGGAGAACCTCTGCTAGGGCAATACAGAAGGAAATGTGGGGTGGAGTCTTCACACAGTTTCCCCACTGGGGCACTGTGTAGTGTAGCTGTGAGAAGAAGGCCATACTCCTCCAAACACCACAATGGTAGATTTACATATAGATTGCACCATGCAGCTGGAAAAGCCACAAGCACTCAATTCCAGCCCATGAAAGCAGCCACTGGGGTGCACCCTGCAGTGCCACAGGGGTAGAGCTGCTGAAGGTCATCGAAGCCCACCCCTTTGCATCAGCGTGAACTGGGTGAGAGACATGGAATCATAGGAGATTATTTTGAAGCTTTGAGATTTAATGACTGCCCTGTGGGGTTTCAGACTTGCACAGAGCCTGTAATCCTTTGTTTTGGCCAATTTCTCCCATTTGGAAGGGCATTATTTACTCAATTCCTGTACCCCTTTGTATCTTGAAAGTAACTAACTTGTTTTTCATTTTATAGAGGGACTCACCTTGTCTCACATGTGACTTTGGACTTAGAACTTTTTGTTAAAACCGAAATGAGTTAAGACTTTGGGGTGCTGTTGAGAAGGAATAGTGGTATTTTTGCGATGTGAGGACACGAGATTTGAGAAGGACTGGGGTGGGAATAATATGGTTTACTTTGTGTCTCCATACAAATTTCATGTCAAATTGTAATCTCCGCGTGTCAAGAGAAGGACATGGTAGGAGGTGATTGGATCATGGGGGTCAATTTTCCCCATGCTGTTGTCATGATAGTGAGTGAATTCTCAGTAGATTTAATGGTTTAAAAGTGTGGCATTTCCTTCTCTCTCTCTATCCTATTGCCATGTTTTGCTTTCCCTTTGCCCTCAACCATGGTTGTAAGTTTCCTCAGGCCTGTCCAGCCATGTGGAACTGTGAGTCAACTAAACCTCTTTTCCTTATAAATTACTGAGTCTCAGGTAGTTCTTTATAAAAGTGTGAAAACAGACTAATACACCATGTTATTTTAATTACACGATCTCTAAATATAATTTGAAATAAGGAAATGTGATGTCTTCAGCTGTTTCTACATTTTGCATGTTGTTTTGGTTATATAAAGTGTTTCTAGGATTATTATAAATTTTAGAATCTTTTTTGTTTTTATAGAAAATGTCATTGGGATTATGATAGGCATTACATTGAATCTGTAAATCACTTCAGGTTTATAGAGATTTCAGTCAACATAATATATCTCTCCAAATTAATATATTCTTTCCTTTCATTCAATAATGCTTTGTAGTTTTTAGTATAGAAGTTTTTTTTTTTTTTTTTAATCTGGTTGCTTAAGTTTATTCCTATATGTGTTGTTCTTTTTGGTGCTATTATAACTTGGATGGATTTTTTTGATAGTTGTTTGTTAGTATACTGAACAATAACTCAATTTTGTATGTTAATTTGATATCCTACATATCTACTGAATTTGTTTTAATTTTAGTAGTATTTTGTAGACTTTACAGTTTTCCACATATAATATAATATGCAAACAGAGGTTATTTTACTTATTTTCTGATTTAGAAGACTGTTTTATTTTTATTATTCTTGCCTAATTGTTCTAGCAGACTTCTGGTACTATGTGAAATAGAAACAACAAGAGTGAGTATCATTACCTGCTTCTGATATTAGATAAAAACTTTTCATATTTTTGTCATTGGGTATGAATTTAGCTGTGAGCTTTTCATATGCATCATTTCTCATGTTAAAGTGATTTTCTTATACTTCTAGGATGTTGAAAGTTTTTTTTTTACTCATAAAACGTTGAATTTTTCAAGTGCTTTTATTTGTATATATTGAGATAACAATTGTTTATTATTCATTATTTTGTTAATGTGGTATATTAATTTGTTAATTGTGAACATCATTTTTCATTTGAGGGATACACTTGTAATGTCTTTTAGGAAAAAAAGTGATGCTGAGTCTAGATACATAGAAAAAGCCAAGCAATACTACTGGTCTTGCAATATCATGTAATTTAATTATAGAATAGTTTCTTTGGCAACAGTAAAAACAAGAGAAATCTGGTCAAAATGAAGCCAAAGTATTCTGAGCATTTGCAAAACAGTATTGGCACTGTAAGTGAACTTCTGAATATAGTTATTTCCATGTACAATGTATAAAATATAGTTAAGCTCAGTAAAGTTTTTTGTGTCACTTGTGAATTAGAATAATAGCCTTAAATATTAACTCATAAGATTTTATATTATTTTAATTTTTCCTAGGTTTGAAATATTTGACTTGGAATATTTCCAACTTAGCCTCTGGAAAATAAGCTTTTGACTTAACAGGGTCAATTGTGAAATGTTGTTTTCTCACAGGAGGAAGGAAATCCTCCATTCCAGCCTCTTCATGCTGGAATTAACTGGAGGAGTCCTAGTTTTTGGTCATTACAGCTTCAGGCCTTTGATATAACTAATTCTTTTTCTCCTTCTTTCCTGTTTTGACAAGCTTTCGGAAACAAAACAGGCAACATTTTGTGATGATGAATATCACAGTTGCCACACAGATCAGTAGGAACCCAATCACATCCAAAGAATGGTACTGGAACCAGGTGAGGTCGTGGGCTGCGACCCGAAGGTGTTTGGCTCCTTTGTGGCGCATGACAAACTCAATCCAGAAGACTGCCCGATCCAGGGGCTTCATTGGCTGATCATGATGAATTCTTGATAATTTCATAGTATTCTGTTTATAGCTGAAAGATAAACATAAATATACCAACATAGAAAGTAAATTTATTGCCTAAGAATATCAAGTCTATGGAAGGTCTTTAAAAAATGTTACACAAATAATTCAAAGTGAATGTTACAGAATTGACATAGAAATTGAATGTTTTAAATTGGGTCATCATAGAAAGTTTGTTTTTTAAATTATAATTTTATCATAGGCAAATATTTTTTTAAGGTGAAAATGAAGTCATATGAGAAGCCATTCTAGAAGTGCTCCAAATAAGATAGTAGAAATGCAATTTGAGAGTGATCATTTTGATATACATATATTTTGAGAGAAGGTTGTGCTCTGCTTCTCAGGCTGGAGTATATTGCCTTCATCATGGCTCAGAGTAGCCTCGATCTTGTGGGCTTAAGCAGTCCTGACACCTCAGCCTCCCGAGCAGCTGGGACTACAAGCTCAAACATTCTGCTTGGCTAATTTTTAAATTTGCTTGTGATAATGGGATCTGGCTATGTTGTCCAGGCTGGTCTCAAGCAATCCTCCTGCTTCACCTCCCAAAGTGAAGCGACTACATGTGTGAACCACTGTGTCTGGCCCATTTAATTGTGTTCAGTGGTTGACATGCCTTCTAAATAGTCTCTCTGCTTCTACTCATCTGTCTTCTACCATATTTTCCTTTCAGTCACCAGAATAATTTTTTTGAAACTAATGTCCGATTAAGACACTCCACAGATTAAGATCTCCATCTGGATTCTCATCACATTAGGAGTAAAATCTGTGATTTGAACACATGAATGAACACATGGAGGGGAACAACACACACTGGGACCTAGCAGAGTGTAAAGGGTGGTAAGAGGGAGAAGATCAGAAAAAATTAGTGTGTACTAGGCTTAATACCTGAGTGATGAGATAATCTATATGCCAACCATCCATGACACAAGTTTGCCTAAATAACAAACCTGCATTTGTTCCCCTGAACCTAAAGTAAAAGTTAAATAAAAAATAAAAATAAAAAAAGAACGACATGCTGTTTAATAGAAAAAAAAAAGAATAAAATCTGTTTTTGGTCTACAGAATTTCACATGGTCAGGCATTGGCAACTTCTAACACTTTCGCCCTGCACACTCTTTTCTAGGGACACTGGCCTTCGATTAATCTTGAAGCTCCCAATGGTATTCGCATCTTCACTCCTTTACACCTTTTGTCCCCTCTTTCCCTCTTCAGAGCATTCTTCCTTGCAATAAAGTGGGGCTTGCTTCTGTATCTTTTTGAAGCTTCCCCTTAAATGATACTTGTTAGAGAGGTTTTTCCTGGCCACACTATATAGGACCCGTAGAATTGTCTCCATTGTTTCATGCTTATTTTGCTATTTAATTTCTAGAACTTTAAAAGAGTTAATATACCTTGTAAAACAAAATCTTAAGTATGAAATATATAAGATAAATACACATACACTAGTAGCTCAAAATTTTAAAATTATCTTAAACATGATCCTAAAGTAGAGACAGCTACTGCTTGTGTTCTGAGTTATCACAACCTTTCCAGAAAACTTCTGTCTCCCTGGACCATTTTGGTCACTACTTTTCATTCTCAATTTAAGTATTAACCTGACTTCTAATATTATAGATTAGCATTGCTTGTTTATATAATTGAATTATATAATAAACTTATGTGTTTCTGTTTTTTGTGTAGCAGTTATTGGTTAATTCCATTGCTGTATAGTATTCAGTTGATTGACAAATATCTCAGAGTATCTATTTATTTAATAATTGATGGACACGGGTTGTTTACATTTTTGGATACTATTAATTATTCTCGTATAAATACATTTATATATATGTCATTAAATTTACATATTAATTTTTGTTGGGTATATAGTTGGGTGAAGAGTTGCTGAGATAAAGGTGCACATATAATTATAACATTTTGTTGACTACATTTTTTAAAATGTATTTTTGATTTCTAAAATTTGAAGAACTTTTTAGTTGTCATTCTTTGTAAGATTTTTAATTTATTTCTAGTATAGCTAGGCCTTATTTATGACTTTGAATCTTAACAAACTTAGTGAGTTGTGAGTTTTAGCCCAGGATGTGATCAGTTCAGGTAACTACTTCATATACTCCTAAACAAATGTTTATTTCCAGTACACACACACACACACACACACACACACACACACACGTGTATGAATGTGTGTATATATATATTCACGTTTTTATACTACATATAAAGGTTTATACATATATATCACATTACATTTAATTGTGCTCTTCAAAACTTTTATTTCCTTAATCATTATTTTGTCTTCTTTTGTCTGTTTAAATGTAATCTGAGTACTGGTAGATTCATTTAAATCTACCATCTTATTTTGTATTTTCCATTTTCCATCCTGTCTTTTTTTTTTTTCAATTATTTCCTATTTGTTTTAAAGAACTTTTAATCATTCATTGTCTTACTATTTTCTGTGTAAAGTATTTTAAGATATTCCTTTATGTGGTACCTCTTTAACAAAAATTTTGATAGCAGTAATAAATTCTGAATTAATGGTAGCTGGTCTAGACATAGCATTTTCTATATTTTTTCCTTTGGAGTATGAAAAGATTAATTATTACACTTTTATTCTTTCAGTATTAAAAACTTGTGCTTCAAAGGTTATCTCTAAGAAAGTAAAAAATATAAAAAATCAACCCCTCCACAGTGAAAGAAAATATTTGAAAATCATATATCTGATAAGAAGTTATATTCATAAATATAAAAAGAATTCTTATGACTCAGCAATAAGTAAAAAAAAAATTACAACATGTTGAAAATATTGAAATAGAAATTTATCTAAAGAAGATATATGAATGGTCAGTAAGTGCATGAAAAGATGGTTAACATCTCTAGCCAGAAGGAAAATGTAAATCAAGACCACAATGAGAGATCACTTTACACCCACTGGACTGGCTATAATAAAAATAAAGGTGATAACAAGTTTTGGGAAGAGTGTGAAGAAATTGGAACCCTCCTGTATAGCTGGTGTTATTGAAGAATGCTGCAAGTACTTTGAAAAACAGTTTAGCAGTTCTTCATCCACATACATGTAAAGTTCCCCAATTACTTTAAAATTCCACTTCTAGTATCTCCTCAAAAGAAGGGAAAACCTATTTCTACACAAAACTATGCATAGCAATGTTTCTGAGAGCAAAAATTTGAAATAGCTAACGTGTTTATTACTTGATAAGTGTATAAATTCAAAGTGGTGTATTCATGCCAAAGAATATTATATAGCAAAAAAAAAAGAAAAAAAAAAAAGAAAGAAAAAGGAAACAAAGTATTGATATGTGCAACAACATGAATGAAACTGGAAAAAAAACATGAAAAGTCAAAGAAGTCATTTACAAAACACCATAAACTGTATGACTTCATTCATATGAATATATAGAGAGTATAATTTAGTGAGAAAGATAATAAATAAATATTTTCCTAGACTAGAGATTTATGGAGAGTGACTTAATGTATCATAAGTTTTATTTTAGAGTCATAAAAATGTTCAAAAATTGTACTGTGGTGATGGATTCATAATTAAACATATCAAATACATTTAAATTTTATACTTTAAATAGGTGAGTTTTATGCTTGTAAATTATATCCCATCATATTTCTTAAAATAATAATGATAAATTTTTAAGGCAAATAGGTTATAATTTCAGAATTGTTATTTATTTGATTTAAGATTTTATTATTTTTCTCCAAGTTCATTGTTCCTTTTTATTGTATATTCTGTAATTTAAAAAATCCATATTCACAATAACCTCTTTAACATTATTTTTGTATAGAATAGTTGTTGTAGAAATTGTTGACCTACTGAATGTATGAGTTTCAAATGTAACTTTGAAATTATTATCTGGTAGAAAATAAAAACAGATTTAGCAGTAGTTAAATCATTTAAATTCTTCCAAAATGAGTCTCTTACAAAAAGGATACTCACTACTGATGAGATAAACCATCTACAAATACCACCTAATGAAAAATATTGTTATACTCACAAAGGATCATTAATTACTGTCTTCAGTGCATTCAGCAAGTCTGTACCGGACATCCTGTTGAAGTCCACTCCAATAGCTGCACCCTTGGCCTTCATATGAGCAATGTTATCAGGTTGATCCGCAAACAACGGAATGCCCACCATAGGGATCCCATGGTAGATTGCCTCGTAGATGCCATTGGCTCCACCATGAGTTATAAAAGCTTTGGTTTTGGGGTGACCTAGGATTGAATAAATTTTAGCAAAATAATTAGTTATAAGTAAATAATAACATAATAAATGATCAATATGAGGCACTGAAAGGAACAATATTCTCTAGATAATATTATGATGCCCATAAAACAGGATTGAAAATGCTTTTAGATTTCAGAGAAAGAAGAACCCACTTCTGCTGGAGAGATAAGTGATAATTACATGAAGAGGTAGTGGTGTGTGTGACTTCAGACTGGAAAAATGAATTAAGCTTGCCAGGTGGACAAAATGATAAAACACATTTTGAATAAAAACATTAAAATGTGCAAAAATAGAAGAATAATATTGGGCATATAAGAACATGTTATCTTAAATAAATAGTTCAGTCACTGAGTGTGATATTGGGTGTGCAAGGCAACAGGGGGTGGGGTAGAGGTGGTGCTGGAATAGAGGAAGCATACGCTACACTTCATCATAAAATGTGTTGTCACTTTATATAAAGATTGGGGGTTTATTCCCATAAAAAATGCAGTCAGTGGTAATGGAAGAGCAACTGTTATTTTTCAATGTCATTTGAAATAACCCTGTAGTATTAGAAAGGATGGGTATAAAGTTGTAGAAATAGCAGACAGACAACCCAGAAAGTTATTGGGAAACTATGAATGGTAATTACACCTAAAATAAAAATACTTTGATTCTAATAATAAAGAATGTGAGTGTATATAATAAAATGAAAACTATTATAGTTATCTTTTTCCTCACAAGAATGGAAAATAAATAATATTTTATTTTTTCAAAAATAAATATTCAAGAAGCATGTTTCATGTTGAACTATTATCACTCTAATTGGCTGTTATTTATATATTCGGTATTTGTTCTCTGGATTCTTACCTAGAAGGTCATTCTGGGGCAACCACTTGTACAGTCGAGTATTGGATCCTAAAGTATTTGGTTTCTTGCCAACATATCTCCATAGAACCTGTCAGGGTGAAGAAAATATCTTGTGCTATCAGTAGAACTCCAAAGTTATAGTATGTTAGAACTCTAAAGAGATTGACAATCAGCTAGTTAAATACCTTTTATATAAAAATATGAAGAAATGTGATCAAGATATTAAGTAATGAAAACTATTAAAAGTATGAAGTAAATTGAATACTGTCATTTCATGTCATTACTGTTTTTTTTAAAACATGTTTGGTATATTAGGAAATCATAGTATTTCCAACATTGTAGCTTAGACACATTGGATTATCAATGAAAAATTTCAATATTCAAGAAATTGTTATATACATTCATTATAATTTTAGAGCAAAAAACGGTAACTAATTAGTAATGACCTATATATTTATTTTATATATTTGTTCTAGCTGTCATCTTCTGAATTTAATAATTTATATTTGAATGATATGCAATTTTACATGTACTAGTTTATTAGAGTTTGACATCTTTTATTTGCAAAAAACTACATCTATAAAATCAGCTACTTGTGAGAAATAAATTAATGCTATGTAGGTAGTGTGTGTAACTTCTTTCAGTTTACAATTATCCTGCTGTACTTCCAGGAAAAATTTCAAGTGTCAATTTTTGACACTTTCAGAGTATTATCAGCATTGCTAATTATGGAAGTATTTTCAACATAGGAAAAAAAGCCAGTTTGCAATTCATGAATAACAATATAGCTACTGAAAGTATATAAAATTGTGTATTTTTACCAAATTTTGCTTAACTGATCATTAACATTTAAATGATACACTACAAAGCATGACAGCATTGAGTAATATGGTCTGCTTTAGCCAAGCCATTCCCATGCCAATTACCAAAATAAGGTAATTGATTTTAGAATTCCCAAGCAATCCTGATACTAAAGTATAATTTACAAGTGTTTACTTTGTATTTGCTATGTAAGTGTTAAAGTAGCTTTTTGTTTTCAACAAAAAATTAGCATAGGTCATCAGAAGACTATGTCAGTTAGAAAATTAAAAAGTAACTCACAAATGCAGAAATATTGCAACTGTATTCTACGTATTGGGAAATAAGTTCCTACTATATTTTATGGAGTGGGGACACCTGAACCTCTTTCCATGAGTGGTTTCCTTCTGCTTGTCTCCTTCTTTTATTCTTTTTTCTTTCCTTAATCTGGAGGAGGTGTTAACTGGTGGTTAGAGCAGAGGTTTTGTGGGGCCATATTTTATAATGTACAGAATCTATCCTAAAAGCAGGATTCCATTTCCATCATTCCTCTACATTTTCCTGCTTAAGGCATTAGCAGGCCATAGTCCAGCAGGCAAGGCATGTTTTCCCATTTCTCTAAATTTTGTCAGCTAGGTGAGTACCTGGAGCAGTGGTTTGTTGGTCTAGGACATTCTTTTTCTGAATAGCATCCTGAACAACGCCCTAAATAGGGCTATTCCAACACGTATAGAAAATACAAGAGGTCAGATTACATGACAAGCCTAAACTGCATGATGCATTTCAGACTTTTTTCAATGCCTGCTTATTGTTATTGTGATAGTACAGTAACTCATTAACATGCAACTCCTTTTTGGGAATATCTATAGTGTATACAGTGCCCTCAAGGACTCTGTAAGAAAAAGAAGAAAATGACAGGGCAGAATTTGGTGATTTCTATGTGCATGTCTACAATACCATGATAATACCAAAACTTCATGTGCACCTTTTAAATTTCTGTCTTTCTTGTCACAATATTAATGCCAATGTTATTATCAATGAAAACTCTCCTCTTTGCCATTTTAACATCTTCCATGTATATTTTTATTTTTGAACACGTATCTGAGATAATTAGAACTATTCCATTACTTAATGTTGTAGGCAGAACATTTTGATAACTGGACCCTTTACAGTTTAGTAGACTCATTCAGTAGCTGTTCACCATTAAAGCACTTTACTTAACCTTTTGTGGGATCTGAGCAAGAGCTGACGCAATCACACTGGCTCTTTCTTCTGTGATGTTACCGACAATTGACCCCAGAGAAAACACCACAATACCATTTTCTCCAGAGCTCTGCACAAAGTCTTCCATTTCCTATGAAGAAAGAATTTGCTCCGTCACAAAAGTGTCAGCACAGCAAGCACTATTGAAGGAATTGTTACAAACATCTAAGCAGAGAAAATTAAGTATTATCAGGAATTTTTGGGTACTGGCTGTGTTTTTGACTGGCCTAATTTCTCAGTTTCTTTGAAAGGAGACATGTAATATGACAGATGGTCTCCATTATGCATATTTGTATAAATATGAGTGTGTACACATATAGGTATGCATGTATAAGAAAGAAATGAAACAGCTATTATACCGTAGTAGAAGAAAATAATGCTGGAACATATTATACATAGACTCTTCATTTATGACATTATAATTACTAATAGAGACTCTTGGAAGGTGGCATTACTTTGTCTTAATTCTGTATCATTGTAGTTCTAGTAAATATTTGTGGTCAAAGGAAGATTTTCCTCTAGAATTCTTTTAGTTAGAAGTCATTGGCGCCATTACACCTGCCTTTGAGCAATGGGAAAAAGTTACAATTGGAATGAATTTATAGCAATGTTTCCTTAGCTATGTAATTCTTTATACCTGACTTGAAATTTCTCTGAGTTTCTGTCTTCCTACTCCCCTATCCACCACACACACACACACACACACACACACACACACACACATACGCACCACCTTTAAAATATGAAGTTTAAGAATCACTGACATTCTGGAGTCTGGTATTGTGGTTTGAAATTTCTGTGAAGTAATCCTAAGAAACCCATTTACAATACTGAATTATGCAGCATGTAGTTAAATAATTGAGTAATCATATTTCTCAGGTCATTGTTTAGGTGTGATTTTCACACCTTGTTTCCTGAAATCACACTGATAAATTGATGTGCTACTTATAACTGTCTTTGAAGGGCCCTCATCATCATTTTACTGTGTCTCACAGGGAGCACTTGGGACAGTCCATCAGGATAGGTGGAAAGGCCACCAGACCTTTCTCCAGTGGAAATTTGCTTACTCTCTAGAGTAGCTCCTTCACACTATAGAAAGCCCTAGTGAACATGTGTTTGTTTAGAATTGATTGATAATTATTCTGACTCATGGGTGACAATATGTTCCCATTTTTAAATTTAGATGCATTCTATAATTCCATATTGTTATATGTAGTCTCATAGAAAAGAAAGAAAGAAATGCATATAAAGCCAAAAGTTTCCTGGATAGTGTGTCAAAATTGTATGCTTATCTTTTTGTTGTTGTTGTTCCTTTTATCTGTATTTAATATTACTACTTTTTCTTTTTGTAAAATAATGACAAACCACTTCCAACATACCAAGTATACTTTCAGATCTTAATCGTTGAGGTAAACCTTCTTTTTATAACTATTGTTTACCAAACAAAGAATAAAACTTCTGAAGTTTGTCCATGCACACCATATATTGACATGTATTTTTCAAAAATATAATTTCAACCTTATAACATCACTGTTAACATGAGAGTCATTTTAACAGTATTCCAAATAATACGTGGGACATCCAGGTATTCTGAAGTTATGAAATGTGTGTTTATAGATTCATAGTGATCTTATTCTGTGCAATCTTTGTAAAAATAATATAAGATGAATGTAAGAAATTTTCTAAAAGTATAAAAATTTTAAAAAAGTAAATAAATTTCTCCCTTACTCTCTGTCTAGAAATAGTCCCCATATAAAATGTATATGCTTTTTTATGGTCTTTTTTATTTTTACATAACTCAATACATATATATGATGTTTATTTAGGACATTTTAATCTTATTAGCTGTACCTTTTAATCCTACAGAAAAATCGTGGTCTTGTTTTATTCATCATTTTGTTGCTCAATTTCCAACTATATTTATATTACGGCTTTCAGTGAAATGATTGTAATTGCTTGGTTTGCACACTGTATAAGTTATTAAACATTTCTTATATTTAAATTACTACTACTGTTTATTTTGTATCTGCCACAAATATTGAATTTGTCCATCATGACTTAGTTTTCCTTTGTATAGTTTCATGTGAGTATATTATAAAGCCAATGGCTGTATGTATTTTAAAACACTTGATACTTTTTACCAAGTGTCTTATTCTTTTAAAATACATAAAAATTATCTGAGACTCTAATACTTAATGGAAAGGCAAGAAATTTAGAGTAATAATTATTTTATGTAGTAAAGAATTAAAGACAAGTTTCACAACTATTGACCTAAATTCAAATCTTCATTCTGCAAGTTAATAACAGCTAGTAGTAGTAATGATCACTTTTGTACTACTAGTCATTCTTGCCCTTGTCCTCCTTCTCCACCTGCTCTCTTTAGTTTCTACTGGCACTATCAATTTTCTTTAATGTTAATAGTTAATTTTTTGAGAATAATATGAGATAATAATAACAATTGGAGAGTTCATGGAATTTTCATTAATTTTACCTCTGCTTTTGTCCCTTGAGAAAGTTACCATATAGAACTTAAGCAATTTTTATTCAACATTATTATTGTATTTTATCTTGACAAAGATTTCAGGTTTATGTCGCTTCTAGTAAGAAGGTAGGCAAAATGAATCTCTTAAGAGATTATATAATAATGTAGTAAAGAATGATTGCTTTCTATTTATGTCTTAAGAGAATGATCTTAAAGTAAAGTATATCCCATTTTTGTGTTCCTTCATAAGGAATATCATGCTATATTCTGACAGAATTCTTTTGTAATTTAAATCTAAGAGCAGTTTTCAGAAACATGTGGTTGACATTATCGTCTTTATTGTACATGCACTATTCATTTCCTCTGTGCTTCTCTTTCAGGCAGCTACAATGTTGAGACCCAGGTTCTCCAGTGAGCTTTACTGATGTATCCTATAGGCTTGGCATAAGGCAGAAAGCACCAGCTCCAATAGGATAAACTGACACTTTTATGTCCTAAGATGTAGACCTCTGGGATCTCAGTGACAAATGGCTTAAATGCTGGGGTGAAAGCAAGTAAACATTGGATGTGGCTGTAAATATATTCAGGGCACAAATTTAAACTGTTGTGAAATGGTAAACAATTTAAGCTAGAATACTGGTGAAGAGCCTCAACTCTTAAAAAACAACTTTAACATTTCAGCTCGTTCATCTGACTGCCCAAACTTAAGCATCTACATTTAAACAAGTCCACAGGACATCTGTTCTCTAGGAGTTTGCTGGTGAATATAATCTTTATTTGTTGGAAAACCAGGCCCTATTAAATGAGAAATTATATCTCAAGTGGCTGTCACATGTTAGCTAGTTGATAGTATCAGAAGTAATAATAAAAAATCACAATAATTACCATGTTAATAATATTTCTGGGTGACTATATGCCAGAGACAAAGTGTTTTATCTGCATTAAAAACTTTTCCACATAAAACAGTATGAAGTTAGTGCTAATATTGTAAAAGCAGGCATAATAATCTCTATCAAAATTCCAGTCCATTTTTCCTTTATCTATTGCTTACATTCATGCAAAATTTCCTGGATGATCTGCACTTTTCACAGTCTGGCCTTTCTGCAGTCTAATTCATTGAACATCTTGGGAGCTTTTTTTAAAAAAAACAAAATCTAATTATCTCACTTCATTTATTAACACTTTTCAGTAGCTCCTCATTGCACTTTATAGATATTTTTAACTCATAATTATCGAGATACAACTTACCTCCCCTGCATCATCTGTCTTTTTACCCAGTCTTTTTCTGCAAAGAAATTTTGGAGTCCTAGGAACTGCCCTTGCTTCTCCAAATGCTTTCCTTTTCTTCCTCTCCCCATCATCCTTTCACCTGTATAGCACATTGTTGAGGATTCACTTTAATTATCAGTGACTTTGGAATCTCTTCTGGATATTCTCTTAGGATTCTGGTGTTCCCTCATAATAACTTTTAGAGTTTTCTTTTTTATTTGCTTATATCCTATCTTTCAAAGTGCAATGTAAGGCATGAGGGAGCAGAAACTATGTCTACATTTATTCTCTAAAAATCCAGCACCAGCCTGTAGTATGTGGTGATCACCTTATAAATACTCTTTAGTAGATTTACTTATACTTTCTTTTGTGTTGCATAATGAAGCCTTTAGTTTAACCAAGTCTGTTTTCAAAGTCTCCCCAGTATCCCTCTTTGTTGTTTATTAATAATGAAGTTCACATAGTTGTAATGGGATAGAAATAAGCGAGTTTCTAATGGCAAGAACATTCTACTGGACCTCCCATATTTCTCTCACCGTGAGTCAAACACTCTGACTGAAAAATTTGTAGCGATTTTTTCTGAAAATGCAAAGCTATCAAATCAAACTGGAATGTATTCACCTTAGGCAGGGGTTTGGCTGGTTTACAGTGGAGTCCTCCAACAAAATCAACATTCGGCAAGATTGGGCGAGGATATTCAAAATCCCAGTAGGTTCGAAAAAGCCACATTTCCGCTTTCCCCATTGTCTCAAATAATGTAGTGGGTCTTCCTAATGGGGGAAAAAATCCAAAAAACAACAATAAAAAAAGGTAACTGACACAAGAGAAGTGTCATGTGAATATATAGATATTTTCCTGAAATGATTTGGAAAAATGTAACCAAAGATATGTAAAATACCTGTGCATTGATAAATGTATACATATATTTTTATATATAGGCATAATTTAATTTTCATGTGTTGCATATGATGCTCGTATGTATATATAAGGAAGGCAAAGTGTTCAGAGAACTGTGAGAGGAAGCTACATTTTTAACATAATTTAGTATATTCCCAATCAGAAATAATCATTAAAATTAGCCACTATGGGTTTAAATATGCACTTGTTTCCTCTCTGAAACAGCAAAGGTAACAAATACATGTTTAAACAAATCGTTGAGCTCCAAAAGGAAGTCATCTTACCGTACCATGAAAACAGCTTTCTAAGTAATACTCAGTCTAGTTTCTATAATTTATTACACTAGTCCCTTGATCTTTGGTTCTCCAAGTGAACTGTGAGTTTTTTGAGTATGGTTGAAATCCTTGTGTATGGTTGAAATACCTATTATTGCTCTTGGTTCTTGTTAAGATCTTATTAATATTACTTTTTGAAAATAAATATATTTACAAATAACAGCTGAAACGTTTTCAGAAATTATTGAAATAGAGATTGATTCTCCCTTGTAACTTGGCTTGAATCTTCCTTAATGAAGGGATGTTATTTAATGAAATATAGATTAAACTTTTGAATTTTCACTTTGAAGATTTCAATCCTTGAAACAGTTTCTAAGCTGTTAGTGAAGGCATGTATAAACATTACAAACCTCAAGTTCTGGTTTTTATTTCTAGAATAGAGCCAGTATATCTCTAAACTGTGAAAAAATCCTTTATGTGAAAACAGATTCTAATTTCTAAAGAAGGAAACTGAGGTGCACAAAGAGAAACAGCTTCCTCAATGTTGCTTTGATAGTTGTGCTAGAAATATGTGTAACTTTTCAATCTACATGTTTGTCTTTATCAGGAGGTTTCTTGATGTATCTATTGACTTTTTAAAAATATAAAAATAACATAGTAAAGTGGATATATGTTTGCTTAAATAAATCACAAGTGCTTTACTTTGCAGTTTTATGACTTCTAGAGTGCCTGGAGGAGTCAAAGTTATAGGGTTCAAACTGATCCTTTAGTGTCAGTCTTTTCATAGTATTTGTGAGATTAATATTTTCATTTCATTACTTCACTTAAAAGAACACTCTTCTCTGACTTTATATAAGTTCACCTTCAAAGGCATAAAGAAAGCTAGGACTTAATAATCACCAATTAAATACATGACTTACCTAGAACATCACTGTAAAACTGGTCCCAGTTCTTTAAATCAAATATTTGAAACCAAAAGTCAAAATAAAGCACATATATCATGTTTTTTACCCTCTCTACAAATGTCATTTGATCACTTAATTCTGACATAGCAATAGGCACATAAGAAGATGGGAATAGAAGTCTTCCACTATGCTTCTCAAGTACATATCCGGGAGAGACGCGGAGACTATACACAAAAGGTACTTTAAGAAGTTCAGCCAGCAGCTCACCACAGGGACCAATGGCATCCGCAAGAACAACATCAAACTTTGACTCTTGTAATTTTGTCATAAGTCTCTTGTTCAAAACTAAATCTTCACAGAATTTTTTAATACAGTTACCATATTTCCACAACATTTCTTGTACTCGTGAAAAATATTCCCAGAATGTATATTTTGGACTATTGTATATCCATCCAGCAATTAGTTTCGAAAAAACATTCTCAAAATCATTTTTAGTTAAAGAGGCAGGATAAACTTCAAATTTAATAGCAGATGATTCACTGGAATCAACAAGAATGGAAGCTGAAGATGCCAACACAGTCACCTCGTGGCCTCTGCTAACAAGTTTATCCAGGATTGTCTTCATATTTATCCAGTGGCTGTATTCCATGGGCCACACTAGCACCTTTCCACAACTCCCAGAGCTAAAGTAGCAACTGAATTGTATCAGCAGAAGAACTGAAATCCATTTCAGAGCCATCTTGGTGCAATGCGATAATTCTTTTCCAGTCACTGTTTCTTTCTCATGCTTATATACAGAGATAAATCAATCAAGTTAAAATATAACTCCTTCATTTCAGAGTAAATACATTATATGAACAGCCTGAGTACATGGATGGCAAGGAGACAAACAAAAGTTTGATTACCTCATATTTACTGAAGGATGTTTAATGTTTCTTTTATGTTTACATTTGCTACCGTCTACTTAAGATTAATGACCTTAAAAGCACCCTGTTTTATGTAATATATTTTATAATAGTGTGAAGAACAGTGGCAGTTGAGAAAGCCCTGCAGGCCTCTTGACACAGAAGAAGAGATGAAGTAATTGTACAACAGAAACAGCATTTTTTAATATCGTGATTCAAGAAATATCTTGCAAAACTTTGTTGAAGTATAATTCACATACCATATGATTCACCAATTATTATGTAAAATTCAGGGTTTCCTGGTAAATTCACAGACTGTATCCAACACAACAATCAGTTTTATCTAAAAAAAAAAAATCCTGTATGTTACCTCTTATCTCCCACCTGAATTTCTGCATCCATCCTGCCCTGGGCAACCAGTAATCTAATTTCTGCCTCTATAAATTAGCCTATTCAGGATATTTTTAAAAGTAAATGAAACTATATAATATGTGATCTTTTGTGACTGGCTTCTTTTATTTAGTTTAATGTTTTAAAGGTCCATCCATGGTATAGTGTACATAAGGACTCCATTTGTATTGCCAAATAGTATCAAATGCCATTTATACATGCAATTTATTAATTTATCAGTTGATAGATATTGATTTTCTTCCACTTTTGGTCATTACAAATAAATAGTGTTGATTAACATTGATGTACATGCTTTCTGTGGACATGTTTTTATTTTTCTTGGGTATATACCTAGAAAGGCAATTACTGAATTACGTGGTAGATGTATGTGTAACCTGTTGGGGAATTGCTAGACTTTTTCACAGTGGATGAATAATTTTCTATTGTCACCAACAATGTATGAGGATTTCAATGTCTCCCCAACATTGCCAACCCTTGTTATTATATGTCTTTTGAGTATAATCAGTGAGAGTAAAGTGGTATCTCATTACAGTTTATGATTCCTTGATATTTAATGATTTTAAGCATGTTTTTCATGTACTAATTAGCTATTGTATATTTTTCTTGGAAAAATTTTTATTCCAATTATTTGATTAAATTATTTGGCTTCTTCTTATTGACATTTTTTAGTATGCTTTTAATACTAGTTTCTTATCAGATACATGATTCCAAATATATCTCTTTTTCTTTGAATTGTCTTTTTACTTTCTTGATGGTGTCCATTGAAGCACAAATGTATTAATTTTGATTTGGTCTAATTAATCAACTTTAATTTGGTTGCTTTTACTTTTGTTGTCATATCTAAGAAATCATTCCCAAATCCAGAGTCCCCCAAATTAGCCCCTATGTTTTATTATTAGAGTTTTATAGTTCAAGTGCTACATTGAAGTTTTAAAAATCTATTTTGCGTTAATTTATGTAAGCAGTTTGAGGTAGGGGGCCTGGTGTATGTCTTTTGTATGGGGATAATCAGTTTTCCCACTTACATTTATTAATCTATTCTTTCCCTCTTTAAATTGGTTTAACACTTTTGATAGAAACCATAAACGTGTGAATATATTTCTGGATTCTAAATTCTATTGCAATGATCTATATATCTATCTGTATATATTTATACCATTCTTTTGATTCTTGTATATTTGTATTTGTCTTTAAAAGCAGGGAGTATAAGTCTTTCAACTTTGTTTTTTACTTTAAATTGTTTCGGCTATTTCTTTTGTTTGTTTTCCCCTTCTTCCTTTTTGTTAAGAGGCAGGGGTCTCACTATGTTGTCCAGGCTGTACTTGAAGTCCTAGGCTGAAGCAACTCTCAGTCTTACAAGTAGCTGGAACTATAGGTGCATGCAACCACACCTGGCTTGTTTGGGCTATTACTATATTGCTTCAATATCATTATCAGTTTTAGAATCACCTTGTTAATTTGTGCAAAGTAGTTATCTGGAATTTTGTTATGAATTGCATTGAATCTGTATGTCAATTTGGGGAGGAGAAAATGGCAAAAGATTAGGTGTTTCTGTACATGAACACAGGAAGCCTTTTCATTTATTTAAATGCTATTAATTTATTTCTAACATAGTGTTCTGCAGATTCCACCGTGCATGTTTTACCCTCTTTTTCTTAAATTTATTTCTAATAATTATATTCTTTGGCATTATTTTAAGGGTGATTGATATGGTTTGTGTTCCCACTCAAATTCCTTCTTGAATTGTAGCTCCTATAATTCCCACATATTATACAAGGGACCTGGTTGGAGATAATTGTATTATGGAAGTGGTTTCTCCCATACTGTCCTCCTGGTAGTGAATAAGTAATCTCATGAGATCAGATGGTTTAAGAAGGGAAAAACCCTTTTGCTTGGTTCTCATTCTGTCTCTTGCCTGCTGCCATGTAAGATGTGACTTTCACCCTCATCCATGATTGTTAGGTTTCCCCAGCCTCTTCTAACTGTGAGTCTGTTAAATCTCTTTTTCTTTTAAATTACCCAGTCTCAGCTATGCCTTTGTCAGCAGTATGAAAACAGACTAATGCAGTAAATTGGTACCAGTAAAGTAGGGGGCTGCTGTAAAATATCTGAAAATGTGGAAGTGACTTTGAAACTATGTAACAGGCAGAGGTTGGCACAGTTTGGAGGGCTCAGAGAAAGACATGAAAATGTGGGAAAGTTTGTAACTTCCTAGAGAGTTGTAGAATGATTTTGACTAAAATGCTGATATTGATATGGACAATGAAATCCAGGCTGCAGTAGTCTCAGATAGGGATGAGGAACTTTTTGGGAACTGGATTAAAGGTGACTCTTGCTATGTTTTAGGAAAGATACTGGAGACATTTTGCCCCTGCCCTAGAGACTTGTGGAACTTTGAACTTGAGAGAGGTGATTTAGAATATCTTGAAGAAGAAATTTCAAAACAGCAAAGCATTCAAGAGGTGACTTTGGTGCTTACAAAGCATTCAGTTTTAAGGCCAAGCATGGTGGCTCACACTTGTAATCCCAGCACTTTGGAAGGCTGAGGCAGGTGAATCACTTGAGGTCAGAAGTTCAGACCAGCCTGGCCAACATGGCAAAGCCCTGTTTCTCCTGAAAATATAAAATTAGCTGGGTGTGGTGGCACATATCTGTAATCTCAGCTACTAGGGAGGCTGTGGCAGGAGAATCGCTTGAACCTGGGAGGTGGAGGTTGCTGTGAGCCAACATCGTGCCAGATGTTGAGACATCTGGGTGACAGATATTGGGACAGATGGGTGACAGAGTGAGACTCCATCAAAAAAACAAAACAAAAACAAAAACAAAAACAAAACAAAACTCAGTCTCAAGTGTGAAAGAGAACATAAAAATTTAGAAAATTTGCTGCTTATGTGGTAGAAGAGAAAAACATTTTCTGCGAAGAAATTCAAACCGGCTGCAGAAATTTGCATAAGTAATGAGGATCCAAATGTTAATTGCCAAGACAATGGAGAAAATGTCTCCAAGGCACATAAGAAACCTCGTGGTAGACAGTCTAATCATAGACCTGGAGGCCTAAAAGGGAAAAATGGTTTTGTGGGACTCACCTAGGGCCCTCCTGCTGTGTGCAGCTTAGGGACTCAGTGCCCTGCAACCAAGATGCTCCACCCATAGCTAAAAGGGGCCAAGACACAGCCTGGGCAATGGCTTCATAGGTGAAAGTCCTAAGTCTTGGCAGCTTCCACCTGGTGTTGAGCCTCACAGAAGTAGAAAATTGAGGTTTGGGAACCCCCACCTAGATTTCAGAAGGTGTATGGAAATGCCTGGCTGTCCAGGCAGAGGTGTTCTGCAGGGGTGGTGCCATCATGGAGAATCTCTGCTTTGCAGCAAAGAAGGGAAATGTGGGATTGGAGGCCCTATACAGAGTCTCCACTGGGGCACTGCCTAGTGGACCTGTGAAAAGAGGGTTACCATCCTCCAGATCCCAGAATGGTAGATCTACCAACAGCTTGGACCATGCACCTGGAAGAACCGCAGGCATTCAATGGTAGCCTGTGAAAGCAGCTTGAAGGGAGGCTGTACCCTGCAAAGACACAGGAGTGGAGCTGCCCAAGACCATGGGAACCCACCTCTTATTTCAATGGGACCTGGATATAAGACATAGAGTCAAACAAGATCATTTGGGGCTTTAAGTGACTACCCTGCAAGATTTTGGACTTGCACAGGGCCTTTAACCTCTTTGTTTGGTCAATATCTCCCATTCGGAATGGATGCATTTATCCAATGCTGGTACCCCAATTCTATCTAGGAAGTAGCTAAATTGCCATTGACTTTAAAGGCTCATAGGTGGAAAGGACCTGCCTTGTTTTGTATGAGACTTTGGAGTATGGACTTTTGAGTTAAGGCTGAAATGATTTAACACTTTGGGGAACTGTTGGCAAGGCATGACTATGTTTTGAAATGAGAGGACATGAGATTTGGAAGGGGCCAGGGTCAGAATAATATAATTTGGTTGCATCTTCGCCCAGTTGTCATCTTGAATTGTAGCTCCCATAATTCCTGTGGGTTGCGGGAGGGACCAAGTGGGAGATAAATGAATCATGGAAGCTGTTTCCCCCATACTGTTCACATGGTAATGAAAGTAGTGAATAAGTCTCATGAGATTTGATGGTCTTATAAGGGAAACCACTTTTGCTTTCATCTCATTCTCTCTCTTACTTGCCGTCAAGTAAGATGTGCTTTTCACCTTCCACCATGATTGTGAAGCCTTGCCAGCCACGATACTGAGTCTATTAAATTTCTTTTCTTTCTTTCTTTTTTAAAAATAAATGCCCCTGTCTCGGGTATGTTTTTATCAGCAGTGTGAAATTACTATGTTACTATAGACTAATGAAGTAATTTTAAAAATCTTTATTTTAGTTTAAATATTCATTGCAATTATATAGAAATAATTTTTTTTTCTGTTTATTGTTGTTGTAT